CTTATAATTATAAGAGTATATGTATAATAATTAAAAGTTGTAGAGAAGTTCCACGATTGTACATTTGATTTTTAACATTTAACTATTTAATTATGATAATTCATATCGAAAATATTACCTCGCAAAAGTGCAGCTTTAGTAAGAACGTTGCAACTCTCATGTATATGTTATCTTTGGGACAATGGACAGAAGTCCAAATGAGTGGTTCTTCGTCAAGCGTTATCGGATGACTTTTGCCGTGCATACATTTCTCCGCTATACGTAACGTAAGATCCACCCCTACACGTTAATCACATTTATTTTTATTCAATTTTACAACTTGTTTCACGATATTTCAATATCTAGGAAACAAAGTACACAGAATAGAGCGTCTGACTAATAATTGGTTCACACTACTGACTAGTGAGTAATTTTGTTTTTGGGAGTCTAGATAAACCAGATTGCATTTATTTTTAAATTATGGACAAGAATAAATCAATAAATATTATCAGTTCAAATAATATTATCGCTATATCTTGAGTAAATATTATTAGCAGTAAGTGTTACCTGGATAATATTCTGTTCGTATGTAAAAGAGGTGCAAGATCGCCCATCCTTCGAAGAAATGTGGATGAAAATCGACGATAGCATTTAAAAAAATTTCTGCTTCCCTATATTGTTTTTGTTTGAACAAGACCATAGCTTGCACTAACAATCTGAATACACAAATTAGAAAGCAATTTCTTTTTTTATTCAGTCTTTTAAAGTTTTGTTATATAGGATTTCCATAAAGTACTAAAAGCGATAGATCTAATGACAATTAAGACATTTTTTATTCTTCGTAACTGTTTCGATCAAAACCGATATATGTATAACTGTTCGAAATAGTCATTTACGGAACCTTCTAAATCTTCGAAGGCAAAATCGACGAGCGATCCAGCTAGCTACAACTGTCGATCGTGGCTTACCGATCCTACCTTAGCTAGCTGAATATCTCGTCGATCCTACATACTTGAACGTGAAATTCCTTGAAGACGTAAATAGGAGTTTCCGCCTACAATTTCGAAGTTGAACTTGAGAAAACCTCTAAACACGATCTAAAGATCAAAATCACTAGCAAATACATTATTTTCTCACAGAACAACTTTTGCGTTTAACATTTTTCTCAAAAGTGCGTACTTTCGGAAATAACCGGAGTGTTTAATACTTTTTGAAGATCCTGTACATATATAAACAAGAATTGCAATAACAAAAGTTTCACTCACGCGATCGCATATTGACGATCTAATTTGATTGCTTCCAAGGAACATTCTCTCGCGCGATCTATGTCACCTATTTTATGCAGAAAAATCGCGTACTGCGTCCAAGGATACGGATCGCCTTTATTTCTTGCTATCGCCTGTGTAATGATTGATTAATTATAATATGGAAATTATAATTGCAACACAACTGATCTACCTTTGTGTAATACATTCTGGCATGATTAAATTCACCAAGCTCGTAAGCCTCTTCGGCATAGAAATATATTCTGTCAGAGTTATCGAAATCCGAAACATCCTGTGTGAATCGACCTTCAACCATTTTGTTTATAGCAAGATGCATCTGCTCTACTAAATACGTGTATATGGATGCAATAATATTCTGCAAAACGCAATTGAAAATTATTCAATATATAAATATTTCTTTGTTGAAAAGTATGAGGTACATTACTTTTTAATAATATATTATGGTCAATGCAGAAGTCCTTGATTGATTTGAAATTATATCGAATTGAAATTATGATACAAACGTTTATATTGTATGATAAAATTTTGTTATGTAGTCATTTTTATTGTCTATCATATTTTTAAATCTATTCTTAATATAAAGGTGGATTCCCTTTTTGTACAAACTGACCAAATCAAAAACACTATTTTTAAGTCGAAGAATGTCATCACTTCTTTTCTTAAATTATGTAATTCTGATATCTTACCCTCTAGTATGTACAGCATAACAAAGCTAAATAACATAGATGAAACAAACATCTGTGCCGAAGTACGATGAGATCTGGCCCGCCTCTAAAAATCGAGCACGAACTTTTGCACTGACCTAATAACTTTTTATTAACGAGAAATAGTATTTAATATATACATGACTTTCGTTGGAGTCCACCATATTTTTGGGTAACTCGAACTTTTGATCTATTAACATGGGAATTTTCGATCTTAACGTATTACATATAGTTAAGTAGAGCCCAGTTTTATACAAATATTGTCTGAAACACATTAGTTCATCCTGAAACGTTTAAAGATATTTGTTTCAGTTGAATTACTAGATATAATTTGCATAAGAACAATATAAATTATTTCTTTTGTAAGTGCCAAGTTTTATAGTACCGCGCGCGATTCTGGATCGAAACAATATTTCTTTCCTGATCCACTTTCCATGGTATTCTTCTTTTTATTTTCGTCAGAAAAATCCTAGCTTAAGAACATATGAAGAATTCAATAATCTTAAGAAATGTTGATTCAGAATTTCTGATTATTTAAACAATTTTTATTTTTATTTTAAATAATTAAGAAACCAACGTATGTTGTCATACTCGATAACACTCCGTGAGAACTTCTGTCAATTTTTGAATGCAGCAAACATATTGATCTTCCGCTACGTCGCTAGAGTACACATGACGTTGTTTTTGTTCCGTTTCAGGTATCATGGAGCTTATTCTAAGAGAAAAATTACAACTTCATGTAACGGTGGATAACATATTAGAATTAAATAATACGATTATTGTCAGACATACAAATCTGCGAAATCCTTTTCAATTCTGCAAGCGACCAAAGGTTTGTGAAGTTCTATTTCGATGACTATGATCGTAGGTTCTCCACTTTCGGTAGTTAGGGGCGTGCTTGGGATCGTCTCAGTCTCTGATTGATTCGACTGCTAAATGAGAACACTAATAATTGTTCATAATTTCGTAAAATTATGCTTATTAATAAAATAATGGAAGCTATTTGGAGTTTTATTTTACTTTTGACGCTCTACTTTTCTTGTCTTTCTCTTTCGATTCCTTGCGCGGCGATTCCGAATTGAAAATATTCTTCTCAAGCTCCAGTTTTTCCGATATGTCCGCTGGATTGTACGTGTACAATTGTCCCACTACACGGCAATTCCTTCCTGCGTAAGCATCGTATAGCTTTCGGTACGTCGAACTTAATATACATTAATACGACTATGTTTTATAAAGTAGTAACATTTACTTCCTGGAAAAAGAAGTTCAGAAACATCGACGTAGCATTGATATAGTTGTGTCGTAGCCGACGGACTGCCTTTGGGTTTTGCTATATTTACGTTACCCGTTTCAGTTACTTCAAATTGGAAGGGCCAATATTTATGTCTTAAAAATAATTGTACATAAATATTATCTGCATTCAAAACTGTTTTTATATTTTATCAACTGAGGGGATAAAAGCTATAATGGTGTAAGTCACTTTTCAGTCAAGTTGTGACTTGCATTGCTTTCTTCAACTACAAATTAGATTGATTTGAAATTATATCGAATTGAAATTATGATACAAACGTTTATATTGTATGATAAAATTTTGTTATGTAGTCATTTTTATTGTCTATCATATTTTTAAATCTATTCTTAATATAAAGGTGGATTCCCTTTTTGTACAAACTGACCAAATCAAAAACACTATTTTTAAGTCGAAGAATGTCATCACTTCTTTTCTTAAATTATGTAATTCTGATATCTTACCCTCTAGTATGTACAGCATAACAAAGCTAAATAACATAGATGAAACAAACATCTGTGCCGAAGTACGATGAGATCTGGCCCGCCTCTAAAAATCGAGCACGAACTTTTGCACTGACCTAATAACTTTTTATTAACGAGAAATAGTATTTAATATATACATGACTTTCGTTGGAGTCCACCATATTTTTGGGTAACTCGAACTTTTGATCTATTAACATGGGAATTTTCGATCTTAACGTATTACATATAGTTAAGTAGAGCCCAGTTTTATACAAATATTGTCTGAAACACATTAGTTCATCCTGAAACGTTTAAAGATATTTGTTTCAGTTGAATTACTAGATATAATTTGCATAAGAACAATATAAATTATTTCTTTTGTAAGTGCCAAGTTTTATAGTACCGCGCGCGATTCTGGATCGAAACAATATTTCTTTCCTGATCCACTTTCCATGGTATTCTTCTTTTTATTTTCGTCAGAAAAATCCTAGCTTAAGAACATATGAAGAATTCAATAATCTTAAGAAATGTTGATTCAGAATTTCTGATTATTTAAACAATTTTTATTTTTATTTTAAATAATTAAGAAACCAACGTATGTTGTCATACTCGATAACACTCCGTGAGAACTTCTGTCAATTTTTGAATGCAGCAAACATATTGATCTTCCGCTACGTCGCTAGAGTACACATGACGTTGTTTTTGTTCCGTTTCAGGTATCATGGAGCTTATTCTAAGAGAAAAATTACAACTTCATGTAACGGTGGATAACATATTAGAATTAAATAATACGATTATTGTCAGACATACAAATCTGCGAAATCCTTTTCAATTCTGCAAGCGACCAAAGGTTTGTGAAGTTCTATTTCGATGACTATGATCGTAGGTTCTCCACTTTCGGTAGTTAGGGGCGTGCTTGGGATCGTCTCAGTCTCTGATTGATTCGACTGCTAAATGAGAACACTAATAATTGTTCATAATTTCGTAAAATTATGCTTATTAATAAAATAATGGAAGCTATTTGGAGTTTTATTTTACTTTTGACGCTCTACTTTTCTTGTCTTTCTCTTTCGATTCCTTGCGCGGCGATTCCGAATTGAAAATATTCTTCTCAAGCTCCAGTTTTTCCGATATGTCCGCTGGATTGTACGTGTACAATTGTCCCACTACACGGCAATTCCTTCCTGCGTAAGCATCGTATAGCTTTCGGTACGTCGAACTTAATATACATTAATACGACTATGTTTTATAAAGTAGTAACATTTACTTCCTGGAAAAAGAAGTTCAGAAACATCGACGTAGCATTGATATAGTTGTGTCGTAGCCGACGGACTGCCTTTGGGTTTTGCTATATTTACGTTACCCGTTTCAGTTACTTCAAATTGGAAGGGCCAATATTTATGTCTTAAAAATAATTGTACATAAATATTATCTGCATTCAAAACTGTTTTTATATTTTATCAACTGAGGGGATAAAAGCTATAATGGTGTAAGTCACTTTTCAGTCAAGTTGTGACTTGCATTGCTTTCTTCAACTACAAATTCTAATACGTTCAAAGAAAATGTTACGTAAGTCCTAACTCATTTCCCTTGCAAAATGATAGCAACTCAATGTAGACATGTTAACAGAACAGCGTACCATATCCGGAACCCTTCTATTACATAAAGTGACTTATAGCATTATGACTTTTACCCATTAAATTATACTACGATAAGACATGTCTATTTATACTTTTGAATATGATTTCGCATCGTTTCGATGCCTGGTTCCCATAAAATACATCTGTTCATAGAGTTCCACTCGATTCGCGGTATATCTTTGCAAGTCATTTTCTATAATGATTGAAATAATGCTACATAAGAAGTATGTTATTATTTTACGCAAATGAATAATTTTGTTGTTACTCTACCGCTAAATCACACTGTTTTTTTAAATCATTTTTCACGATCATGAAATCGCAGTCCAGTTTGTATTTCGAGAGCTGTGCCCGATTTTCCACTTGACGCAAACTGTTCCATCGTTTCGTTCTCTCAACGTCACGATTTCTCGTAAATATACCGTGATCGAATATTATATTTTTGGGAGTCTGATATGAAAAAACAAAGCATTCATAAATTTGCTTGAGTGGTTTGAAGAGTTCGTAAAAATATTATTTAGTAATCTTGTTCTTTCTGAGAGGGAATTTGTTTTTTATAGAAATATCCAGTTTAATAAAAATGGAACTTCTTATCTGTACGATTGAACAATTATATCTATATATTATAATGTTCGGTGCAAAATAACAAAATAAAAGCATCGAAATTCAATCAAAAATACAAGTACATTAGGGGGAATAGTTTTACTTGGCAGAGTATCTAAAAAAAAAGTGGAAGAGGAAATTCCGAGTCAGAATTTCATCCTCTTTCACTGTATGTGCATTTTAGAACACCCTGTATACGTATAGCATTAAGTTATTTCTGATTATTAGGTGCAGTAGGTTTTGTTAGATAATATTGTTAGATTTATTAGTATTACCTCCCCATAAATGACTATGTGTAAAATTTTGTTGTATAAACGAGTCCTCTTTCACGGCCGAAGGACAGAAAAATAAATATACGTTTTATATCATTCTACATTATAATGTTCTAGATTTACTTATTTATCATTCTCGATAAGAATTGGTTTGTTACGAACCCTTCAACTGAAACACACAATACAATCATATAGATATGATACTTGGCTATCGACGAACGCTATTGTGCCAGCTTTGTATCGTGAATTTTCCGTAAAGGATTCCGGTGGATTGTATATACTTTCGACAGTAATGCTCAAAAAGTTTATTTGTTCTTCTGGATGAAAAATCGGCGTAAAGTTCTGCGTAATTGTTATTGTTAAACGCGGTAGATTTTGCCATGAAATCATCGATTCATCGAAAGAAAAGCTTGGCGTTTCTAGAATTAGCTTCTCGGTAAATTTTTGTTCTCCTGAAAATTTTTCGGATCGTATTTTAAACATTACAGACTTTCGAATTTTCAGACATTTAAACTTTATATAATTCGTAGGTATTGAAATCTTTTATTACCTAACATCAATGGCATTATATCAACGTTACACATCCCTAATATTTTCGAAGTGGGAAGTATCGAAGATTTTGTACTGAATATCGACTTCTTCTTGCTTTCGATATTCGAAGAGACAGACCGCGCGTCATCGTCGTTATTTATGTTTTGTGTAATTTTTACTGTACAAAAATACCATTGTTTAAAATAAATAAGAATTGTGCTATTAAACGAGAGGTATCAATTCATTTTTACTTATTATAGGTGCTGATACGAGCGAATTAAGGCTGTCCTTATTCTTTATAATAACTCCCTGAACAAGGAAATCGAGATTATGAAGCTTTTCTTCGTCAGTAGTCGCTTTGATCAATATTGAATCGCTTTCATCCAACATAATCCCATTATGTTCCATAGAACACGTAACGACTATGTCTTCCTTTCCCACCTAAAAGTTTTTATAGTAAACGTGTAAGAACTTTGAAACTTTTCTTGCGAATCTTAAACATTTCTTTTTAATGAAGCAATTAAATGCATGAAATGTTATTATTAAATGAAGGAGTAAAAGTCATAGTGATGGAAATCACTTTTCGGAATGGAAATGTTCCAGAAATCGCTGTTCTCTTAACATATTTACAGTGTGATGCTACCAATTTGCAAAGGATATGAGTTAGGACATGCTTCACATTTTCTTTGATTGTATTAATTTTCGTCAAGAAAACAGTGCAAGTCGCAACTTAATCGAAACGTGACTTACACCATTACAGTTTTTATCTGCTGAAATACTTTGGTATATTATTGATTTTTTATAATTTATATTGTACACACATATCATATATAGACATCTATGTAAGTCCTCTGTTTTTTTAAATATCTGTAATAGCTTACAAGATTTTCGATGGAATGTAATAGTATTTCAAAAGTCTTTTTATCCACCGACTCTTGCAATCCCATCCATTCGTCCATTTCTGAAAAGATATTCCTGCAAATCTTCTCTTCTGGTAACCAGCATGAAAACTATTGCAATTAAGTCCTTCAGTTGTTTGATAAAAAAAACAGAGGAAAGATATTATGTTACATATGTACAAATATGTACGTTTTGTTACAAACCATCTATTACCACATTATTATACTGTGCCCAAAGTTTTAAGAACCAAACGTGTAAAGGAGTGTAGGTCTCGGCCTTGGTGGTGTAAGTTCACATAACCACCGAGGGACGCGGTACCTCGACGGACGTCCTGGAATCTGACGGCTCAAACTTGCTTTCGGATCGCTACCCGCTACTGCGGCTCTTGATGTATTTCATAAAACGCAGAGAACGGCTGCGATAATTTTGCGATGACTCAGGAATAACTGGAGTAACGTACGACCCTCTTCCAATTTGAAGAAGAAACATGATAATCCAATATTGAAAAAGTCATTTATTAACAGCAAACACAAAGTTATCATTGTACAATCAACAACACCATTGCTTTCAGTGGCGGCATATATTAATTGTTTAAATATCCAAAAGAGCCATTTTCGAATACAAAAAATGTTGGAGAAGCATTTTTCACAATATATTTTGCTCCTTTCTCATAGCAAGTATCTTTTGAAAAATTTTATTATACCTTCATTCCAGGTACCCATTCAAAAAATATATTTATACATGTTTTATTATACGGACGGCAAATGAATTGAACTTTTCCCTCGATTATCACTTTCGATATACTAATCAGAGATCATTTTCAGTAAGTGATGTCATGAAAAATGAAAATAAATATTTTATTATAATTATAATGTGTAGCTTCTTGAAATGGAATCATTGCCATTAGCAATGTAGTCCTTTCTTTGTGAAAAATAATTAATCACCTTCCTGCAACTCTTGGTAGAAGAGTTGGTGGAGCGAAGAATTTTTTTAATACACATTTTTTATGAATGATTCTTTGATACAACTTGACTACTTTGTACGTATCACATATTTTATTTTATTAACAAACGAGTCTAAAGAATGATTATTCGAGTTCATGAGTTTCATAAAACAATTCCTGTCTTAATTGCATGAATAATTAAAACCATTTTTATAACTAATATTTATTGAAGTATCGTATAAATTTTTGTCGTAACTCGCGTAGAATTTGTATCCTCAATAGAATCGATAAAATTTCAAGCTTATATAAACCTCAAATTATTGCTATAAACTATGTTCGTTCAATTAACAGATTGAGCAGCACAAATTTAATTACTCATTAGATCTTGCTTTACATTAGTTTTTTATGTTCGATGTAATGCTTACATTTTATAATTGAGCACAGATTATGTATATAATGTGAATATTAATTAAAAATTCGTTCGATTTTATAAATTTGATCTGAATATACATGTCTCATCGTCGAATGGAGGACCTTAAATGTTCCAAACTTTCGTTCTCTTTTAAATTTGATCGAAAAGATAACAGAAGGCAATCACGATAAAACGTCGTCGACTAGGAAAAATAAAATGCTAAAAATCAGCTTTACATAATAATTAAGTCTCTCTCTCCCTCTCTCTCATACACATGCTGTCTGTTTGTCTCTTTATCCATCTTCTAACTACACTGCTTATATATACAATGGTATAAAAAAGGAATGTACGTTTGTGTACGTACATCGGAGTATCAAAATGTTATGTAACGTTTTAATCAGTCGGTCAACAGAGTAATCTCGCCTCGCCGGAACTTTCTTCAGTATTTGAAAGATCAAAATAAAAAAAGGCGCACACATGTTCATGCATGGAGAAAAAAATATACTTATCGTTAAAATGAGAAGAGTCGTTTTGTATTCCATGTACTCATCATCCCATGCACGAAAGTTGTATCGAACGCACTGCTCGGAGCTCAATCTTTCTTCAGTTTTTTTTTACGAAAACCGGACTCCCGTGCAATGAACGAGATCCGAATGACGAGCATATTATATTAAGTAAATGTTATGTACTTTTTGTCCTTTGGTTAAAGACTTCTCAAAATCTTCTCGATATCTCTCAACGTTTTATCAGGCACAGCGTCTACCAAGGCTTTCCTAAATCCTTCATGATGCACCAAACGCCGAAACATCTTTTTCGCGTGATTTCTATGTGTATGAGACAAAATAAATCATAAAGTTGCGCATCGTGAAGTAATTTAAAACGTATTATGATACAGAATGTGATATAATCCATATTTTACCTAGCGTCCAAATTTCCATCCATCAATAATTTCGCCCCGGTAAAAAGTAACTTGTCTCTGACGTCCCTTGGCAAACTCAAAGTCTGCTCTGGTCCTATTCGATCGACCACAGAAGCTAATAATCTGGCTGTAGCTGCTCTCACTATTGCATTCTGATGACTAAACAAAACAAAGTAATAAGAATATTTTTATTACATTGTAAAATGAAAATCGTGTGCGATAAATGAAATAATAAATAATTTACCTAGCACCACGTTGTACGATGATGGTAATTGTTTTGAAAGGCGGAAGGTGTTCGATCATTCGATCCAAGGCCGCGTTACAATCCGCTCGTAGGAATCGATTCGTGTCTGCCGTTCTGTGCAGCAGAGGTGCGGCTATATCGTCGAAATCCTGTGAGTGATACAGAATAAAGTAACGAAAAAAGATTAAAGAAGTGTTATCGATGATTTACCTGGTCTATGCCACGAATTTGAGAAGCGAAAATGTCGCCGGCGGCAAGACAGGCGGTTCGCGCTACCTGCGATCGGAGACTTTTTATCAGTCGACCTAAATGGCGGCATATTATTCCCGCGGCGTACGTGTCTAAATATTCTGATTGTTGTTTTGCAATCTGCATCAACGTTTTTAGCCCTTTCACAGTAATCTCCCTGTGCGAAAAATTAAACGTTGGCTATGAACTGTTTAATTATAAAAATATGAATTTATATCATTTTCTCTAGAAATAATTCTCTAGAATTAATTCATAATTCAATATTTGATCAAGTGGGGAGATATCTTCATAATTTGCAAAAAAGTTCATTTTTTTACGTAAAATGTTAGTCAAAGATGTATAGAATATCGTCTCCGCACTTATTGTTAGCTGCATTATACATACGAAATATGCCTACCAGTCTTTGTCTTCAAGTTGAGCAAAACATTGTTGTACTATGGGTTTCAGCTTCTCAGTTTTTTCTACTTTTCCTCGGCTTCGAGATCTACCTATAACGCGAGGAACTCTCGAAGGTTTCCGTTTGGTGGTAGCGATCGGTTCGGTAGGTTGAGGCTGAATACAAAGATTATTAAATACATTTGAAAATAATATTTATCGAAAGAAGCAACAAATTTATAAATTTCGATACCTCAATTTTCAAAATTCCTGGTTCCGTGTTCGTCTCACTGGAACTATCTTTGTTTTGTCCTTCTGAACTGATATTTTCAGTAGACTGGTTAACGAACTGAAATGAAATATTTTAATCAACAGTACAATGTATAAAAATAATTTATTTAAAATCGTTTATATAAAACGAAGGAATCTTTACGTCTATATTAAAAGATACAATATTTGTGTAATAACTTACCCTTAGAGGATTATCGTTCTCTGTTGGTTGACTGGTAGATTCCTCGTGATTTTCAATACAATCAGAATCCTCGGTGGAAGAATGAGGTCTGGAGGCGATGATTATAGCGGGCGACTCTTCTACTAGCGATTCCCTGCGAGACCTAAATGTTACCTTCTCAATGTCGCATTGCACTTGCATAGAAGAAACAACTCTATCTTCGCTAGAATCGTCGGACTCCTTATTGTCAATTGCTGCTATCTCAAAGCTCTGAAAGATCGGAGTACAGAAAAGCAATATGAATTCTCAGAATTTTACAAGATCTTTCTTCTGATTAGTCAAATTAACATTTACTATGACTTTTAAAAAAAATTAAAGAAAATTAAGTTTTACGCGAACGTTCTTAATGACAGCGTTAAATTTTATTTCAATCAACCAACCAATTTTCTCGAGCTACTTCGTGAACTGTGTCTTGGAGATTTCATCGTCTCAAAATCGACGGAATTTCTACTCGCCGAACGGCTCGATCTTCTCGAACCAGCAGATCTTTTCGAAGGCAACATCGTCTCCGTATTCTCGAAATCTGAATTTGACATATCGCCAGGCGTTTGCAAGTCCTCGCCCGCAGGTAGAAAAGATATAATGGTTCTCTCTTGTACGTCTTCCAGCGGCTCATCCGTTTTTCCGGTTTCGTCGGAGGTGCTCAATTCGCTCTCGTTCCGATTATCTTCGAGGTAGTTCTCTCCCAAACTTCTGGATGGTGCACGGCTCTGATTCTTTGACTTTGGTTCCTCTTCGCTGCTCCACTCTCGTGACCCATCGTCATCGTTCGTCGCATTCGCTCCCGTCTTGACCTTCTGGCTCAACGAAATCTAAAACAAAATTCTTATTGAATGAATTAACACTCCGGAAGAGGAAAAATGTTAGGTTCCATGATGTAACAGCAAAGAAAGATTAACAGAGGAGCATTAAATTCAGTGATAAATATATTGTACACTTGAATTCATAAAAAATGATGTTTCATAAAGAATCATTGTTTGAAAGTATACTTACGATAAAATCAACGGTATCCCGAGCGAGTGGACTCGATTGACCAGAAATAATATCGAATGCCGAATCCGGGTTTGGTCTATCAGGGGTGGACGATCTGTAATCGCAGTCATCCCGACTGTTTTGCACCTCTTGTTCGGTATCGTGAAAATGATTTTCTAACGCATCCGATGATGAATATTCATAATCATCCACTAAAAATAAATTATAAAGATAAAATGAAATGAAATTAAGTGTATTATTTACTAATGAATTGCATGTGTTTCATTTAATGAACTTAAGGACGTTTGCAAACAGCAGAACCGAAATATAAAACTGAAAAATAACAATTATAGAATCGATACAATATTGGTTCTGAAGAACCGAAACCGATGTAAGTTAGAACCAATACGTATGTGTATCTAATAACAGTTACAACATTTTTTCGGTTCTCCGTAACAGTTTCGGCCAGAACCGATACATATGTAAGTTGCGAACAATTATTTTCGGAATCCTTTCAATCCGTTGTATGTACTCCTGTTGAATTATTAACATTAAGAAAAATGTGCAATGTAATAACACATAAAGATTGGAAAAGCAGATAATTAAAATAAATACAAGTAACGTATGTAAAATG